ACTATCTGAAATATATGTCACGTTACTGTACTTTAACACACGTGTCTATGTACAAGTCACTTACTTCCTTTAATCTGTCTTTTCCTTTGCATTATTGATCTTCTTCATGCTTATGGTTGTAATGCAATGCCATGCTGATTTATTTTTCTCCCTCATTAGAATGTGAACTCTCTGAGGTGGAAACTTAGTCTGCCTTGCTCACTACTGTCTCTTCAAGTGCCTGCAACAGTGTCTGTCACAGATTAAGCAATCAATTACTATATGACATGAATGAGTGAATTCTGACACAGATAAGGTCTTTATTTCGGTATTCCCAAAGGTGTTTTTCCTTAACTTTAATAGATATTACTCGAAGAAAAAGTTCTGGGATAAAGTTAAATGAATTTTCTTATTACAGGACCCTCATCACCCTTAATACATTAATGTATGCGATCTCCAATGAAAGAATGGAGCTCAAATGTAATACTTTTACTCTCCTCCCATGTCTGCTCTTCATGGGTTGGGGAAGATAGCCTAGAGGCTTGTTTGTATTTATGCTGTTCTTTGTCCAGAAGAAGCCCATAGAATATTAAATGTAAAACATTTAGTCGATTAAATTTTAAGGAGGTTCTTTAAAAAAAAAAAGTAAATGCAGCATTTCTAAAACACAAAACTTTTGGTCTGTTTAGTCTGGGTGTTCTACATGTCCAAGAGATGAAAGACAGGGATCCTTGTTGATCCACTGACTTGAGATTCAGCATCTAAATGTGCTGATTTATCACCTCTGCGCTCTGTGACACTCCCTCAGTGGGAATTTGGCTCAGGTTCTCAGCGACCCTCTCTTCTTCTACCCATACTTGTTCATCAACCTTGTGCCCACTTTCTTTTTTGTTTTCATTGACCTGACGCCACAGACTTTCTGGGAGGACGGAGGCATGGCCTCTTACTGCCTGAATCCAGAAGTCTGAGAAGGTTTCCAGATACTGTTGTTATCTGTACTTCCTGGTGTAAACCCTGCTGTTTCTACTTTGGGACTAAGTTTTAAGATCAGAATGTCATGATTATTTTGGATCTTCTGTCTTGGTGACTAGCCTGGTTAAAAAAAAAATGCTAAAATGTATGAAGTCCTACTATGTCTCAGGCACTAAGTATTTATCATACATGACCTTGTTCTCCTATTTACTTACAGGGTAGAAACTTTGATATAGTGAGATCACATAACTTGTCCATGGTCACTCAACAGGTAAACAGCTGAAGTAGGACTTCAAATTCTCAGCTGCCTGCAAATCCTTCCTCTTTGGGCTTATCAAGCTTGGGCTTCTTCCCATCTACCTCATACAGCTGTGTTTGAACTAGTATGTTCTGAAGGAGGATCTGAAGATATCACATTTCATCCCAACATCTTATGTTCTTTCTCTAATAGGATCACACATGTTTGCTTCTACTAAGATGAAACCACAGAAAATACCTAATACATCTGCTCCTGCATGTAATGTACCTCAGTTGATTACCTACTCTGTGCCAGGCACCACAAAGTGAATCAGACTGGCCCCTGACTCCCCAGACCTCTGGACCTAGAGAGGAAGAGAGGGGTAGGAAGTGGGAAGAGTCACTGCCCACTTAGCTGGAGCTTGCCCCAATGGACTTATAACTAGGCTGCTCTTCATCAGACGTCCCCTTTATTACATGCTGGGGAAGATGCCCACAAGCCTATGTCGCCCTCATCTAAGCTGGGCGTGTGATAGTGTCTGCAAGGAACATGCAGCGTGTTGACCTGCTGATGGTGCATCACTGAGCACAGGCAGATGGGCATCATCCCAGAATAGCCAGACCAAGAAAAAAGCACCATTCCATTGATTTATACTGATGCACACCTAAAGCATATCTAATGCACACCTGAAGCATATCTAATGTCATAATGCAATGTTACTTCAATAACTTTTTTTTTTTTCTTTTTAAAGCCCTCAGAGTGCTGCCTGAGCCCTTCTGATGTTAGGGTATGGTGAGGACCAGGAAGTTGGCCCTCAGAGGCACCTAATCTCTCCACATCTTGAATTTGGACTCCCTAGTTTCCAAAATAGTTGAAGGATGCAGTTAGGAAATGGATATAGGCAGTCGGTTAGGAACAGCGTGCCCCAAGCCCCTAACCCCTAAAAATCCACTTATCAGTCTGATGGAGAAACACGCAGTTGGAACCAGAAGGGCTCCCTTCCCCTTCCCAAAGGAAGATCTGTTTATCAGTCTGGTTGGAGAACAATCCCAGTCCAGGAGGGAGGCCCAACACCAAGCAACTACAGTGGCATGTTCAGAACACTGGCACAATAACACAATGCCAAAGCAATGGACCAAAGCTAGCTTCAGGAAGACAGGCCAGGTCACATGGGCAAACTCAGTGGACCTTGGTAGCCTAGGAGAAACCCACAAACTTAGCGGGTCTTGCTATTTTAAGAGAATCACTTAGGCCCAACCATTGAGCAAGAAACATAGCAAGGAGACACCCACAACCAAACCCCCACTCCTTGCCACTATACCCACGGAAATATCTACTTGTCGCCATCTCAGCGCGATGCACTCAGAGAGCTTTCCTGTTCTTCGTGTTATCCACCAATAGCTCATTTGCTTTAACTTTGTCTCACTGCTGTAACTTTTGTCTCGATGTTGAATTCCCTCCTTGCCAAAGGTAAGAACTAAGAAAGAGTCCACCTGGACCCTAGGACTCTGAGCTTGCTCCCCAAAACTCGGATTCATTGTGAGCAGTAAATTTCTGTTGTTAATAAGGGAAAAAAATATCATTTAAATAATTTTAAGATATGCATGAAACCTTGAATAATTCACAATTACTCCCAAAAGCAAAATCAAAATATCTCTACACATGCTTTTAAACTTCAAGCAAAAAGCTTTGAAAGTAACATTTAGGAAATCATTACCTGTTTATCTGATTTCATGCCCTATTAGGTACAAAAAGGGAAGTAGACAGTTTTAAATAGCATAGACTAAAAATAAGGAATAACATTATAAAAAGGTTTCTTTCCAACAGATCATTAACATTTTTGAAGACAGGACCTTGAGCCCTCCAGCAAAAAAAAAAAAATGTATTTAAGCAGTTCACAGAGTATTAACCACTGCATAGTCACGGCTAGCTGATCATTTAATCATTCTGTAGAGCGTCCATAGCATCAAAGCCAGCAACACGCTAGTGCTTCCTGGGGACACGAAAATCATCCACTGGGACACACATACCATAAACAAGAGACTTTTCAAGAGCCAAAGTCAGGTGTGCACTCTACCCTGACCACCTCCTTTTTCTCCTTGTCTGCAAATAATCTGGATGGAAGGCGCATGTTGGTTTCAGGGAACACAGGGAAAGCTCTTGCAAGAGCCATGAAGCACCTTGCACAGTGTGAGAAGAGGTGTCTGGTATTTTAACATGTTATTATATTCCGGGGCCACGTGTGCAGGTGGGTGCAAAGGCCACCTGGTGGTTGAGTGCAGGAGTCAGCACCCCAGTCTAGTTGTGTCAGACCCAAAGCCAGCACCTGTCCCACTGTCCCATACCTGACTTGTGAAGCAGGTGGCTTCACACATGTGCTATTAGCCATATCTCTCAGCTTCCCAGTCTGTTATGTGTAAGTGACTTATAAATCCTGGAGTTTAAACATGTTTTTTTTCAAAATTTTCATATTTAGTACAAATTAAATCAAAGGGCTTATTAAGAAGAAACTGGGACCTCTGTGGTGGTACAAGGGGTAAGTCTCAGCACTGTGAAGCTATTGGCAGCCACTTCCGCATGAGTTCGCTTCCCAGCCAGGGACCTAACCCAAATGGCGCAGCAGACCTCTCCTGTCTCTCCTGTTTGCCCGCTGCTCCCCTCAACAGTGTAGTTTAGTCAATCTGCCTGTCATGTTCCCCACTCTTTCTCTAGTGAATCCTCTAGTCTCATACCTCTGGCCTACACCCCAGCTCTTGTATGCATAAATAAATAAAATAAATCTTTTTTTTTTTTTTAAAGAAATTGATGCCAGGAAGATGATGGAGCCAAGTTTCACCTACAACATCCCTATCTACCTTCTTGTTCAACCCCAAGGAGGAATCAGTGGTGTGAGGGAAGACTGGCCTTCCCAATGGAGTGTGGGTATGAAGAGGAAGATGGTGGAAAGGAGAAAAAACAAAGGAGACAACCCAGGAAGGATATGTTCTAGGTAAGAGTTGGCCTACATCATCTTCCTGGTCAGAACTTTGATTCAGAAAATAAAATAGTTCTTACACTGTTTTCATCAGCAGCTATGTGTTACATGATACACGAACCACCCAGATCGAGTGACCAGGAAATGCTGCTGTGGCCCTGTACAATAGCTGCCCTACACACATTCTCAGCACTGAGTCTGAACACAGAATCTGGATCTGATTCTCTAGGTTTGTATTTTTCCTTTGTTCCAATGTATTGTATTTCAATTTCATTTGAAATTGAAATGAAACATTTCAATATAAGAATATAATAAAATGGATAAACATGGGAAGATAATAAAATGTTTACTGAAGTATACCATGATTAGAAGCAGTCAAATAAAAAAAAAACTATAAAAGTCCAAATCAAAAACAAAGACTCCACAAAAGGCAATTTTTAAAAGGACATCATTCACTGAATGAATGCTACATTGTGGCTATTATCAGTCACTCTGCACAGTTTATGATATAAAATCCTCTTTTCTTTAACAACATATGCTTTAAAGATGTATATTATTAATTTAAACTTCGCTTTTCCAATATATGGATACAGATCTGTACAATATACAGATCAGAAAATTTTAACTTTGATTTATAATATTATTTTAAAACTTCAGTCCACCAAAACAATTACCCTTCATTTTTTACCAAATATCATCAGATAAAAAAATTTCCTTCCAGGAAAAAAAGTACTTAGAACTGTATTTATAGAAATACATTTGAACAAATGACATCTTCAAACAATAAATACAAATATTATTATTGAAATTTTACATCTTTAGAAGTTTGCATCCCACCTCTGTTTCAGTACTCTTTGGTCAATTAGTCCATTATCAAGGTTTTCAGCTGGGTAAAGAGATAGTATCTGCTCCCCATGGCTTGATGGACTGGAGGACTGCTCATCCCTGTCACCAAAAAAGAAGAGGTGGGTCAACCATGACACTTGTCCTCCTGGAACCCCTGGTATATGACTAAGCCCATGACAAACATGTTCTATGCCCTCTCTAAGCTCCGTGTTATTCATGTCTAAGACAAGTGAAGGAAAGATCCTCTGTGGTCATCTCATTCAATGGTTCATACAAGCTGGAAGGAGACTGATGACTCCCCATGCTGCTTTTACCATTTGTTCATATCTATAAATGCTATGAAGCTAATCCTTTCTTTGTGAAATGATGGTGATAATAGAATGAAATCTTTTGGCTAATATTCTTAATTGGCAAAAGAAAGTCATTAACTCTTTGACTCCCTTCTCTACGCCCTATCATTTGGGAGACATTTTATTATCTGCAAATCTCGAGACCTTGAAACTACACTCTTCTAATAACCTCATTTTCTGAGTGTTGCAACTAAAGCCCAAAAGGGAAAGCAGTTTGCTCACCACCACTAGCTGCCCAGGATCAGTACAGGAGTTGATCTCAGTTTTCTTAACTTTTTAGACAATGATTTTTCTAACAGATTCATCAAGAACAACCACCAAAAAGCAACTGCAAGTAACCCTAGGTATTACATATTTATATCTCTTGCCTACGTGCAAACAGAATGCCAAATACTCTGTCCAGATGTGGCCTACAAAGCCTTTTCAAAGCAACATACCAGAAAATCTTTAGTAATTAAATAAAATTTGCACTCAAGTTGAATCCCATCTTAATCTCTGATGTGAAGCACAATTACAGCATCTTTTAAAGTGGCCTTATGCACCATTTATTATACCCACTTCATTTTACAATTAAAACTAAATAGCCAAAAAAATACCCAAAGTTAGATGACTAGCTAATATCAGAACAGGAGGATTTCAATCAAATACTTCATACCCAACTTCAGAGTTTTTATACCAAATCATCCATTGTATCAAGCTCTTCCTGGAAGACTTTAATTAACTAGTTTAAGTTCCATTCTAGTATCATGAAAAACCCTACTCATAAATCTCTGGATGGCCTGTGGTCCAAGACTTGGCTACATTTGAGATGTGGTTTTCTTAATGAGCTTTAAGAAAGTTTAACCTAAGACTGTTTTGATCTTGGAAAAGTATTCAAAGATTATGACACTCCTAACATCAGTGTGCACTCAGGTGGAGTTAGGTACAGTCTAACTTTTCATAATGTACTGCTGAAGAAATAGGCATGCCAATACTTAACATAATCACTCAAAGTCAATGGTCGAACTAGGAGTGAAGCTCCGATTTCCTGAGAGTCCAGTTAGTTCTTATTTACTAGAGAACATTATAAACTCATTTACAGTGGAGACAAGGTTGTCTGTATTCTTCCAAGCTATGCCTAAGGAAACATGAAGATTCCAGTCCTCTAAAAAGAACTTCCAGCCCAACAGCTAAACTCATCCCAGAATGTTGGGAAGTTGCTTTGTGCTCTGTTTGAGGTTTACACACAGCTCTTTTTGTTGGGAAGAAGTAAAACCATGCCATGGGAAATTCATCAGAAGTCACAAATTGAAGGCTATGCTTTTATGTAGATGTGTCAAAACAATGTTTAGGATAAATTCTTCAACCAAATTAGATGGTAGACTCTCCAGTTCAAACATGGATCATCCCTTCAAGCCTAGATGTCCCTTTCTATGTCCCACATATCCAAACAGTCTAGAAATCAAACTCCTGAAGCCAGATCTCACTAACACTGTCACTTATCAAATAGAAGACAAAGCCTTATTTTTACAGGTACAATCTGAAAAAAAAAATGTAAAAACACAAAACAGAGTTCATCAAACATCGTCATCGTACTTTAAGATCAATGAATGATTGGTCTACAGCAATTATTTAACATCAGGTACACTGCAAAAAGTTTTTTGCTACAGAAAAAACAAACCTGAACACCTGATATGATCATTTGATATAGAACTGCAAAGTAAAATTTTTAATTTTATAATTACTGTCATCATTCCCTTTTCTTGCAGACATCAATAATAAAAATAAACAAAAATATCTGTAAATCTCAAAAGCACCAGTTTTACTAGATCAGTTTGCGGGATGCTATCAAAGCAGTCGGTATTCCAAGAGTACTCTCGAGAAACCAGAAAACCTCCTGTGGTGAGAGTCTTTAGCAAATTACATTGTGCAGCCCTCTAGAGGAGAATATAAATTAGTTACTGTAAGGGATCCTTGGCAAATAAATAAATACATAATTGTATTGGTAGTTTTGGGAAAAGCGAAGGAGCAGCCAAAAATGTCTTTCTCAGACACTGATTTTAAGACCTAAGCTGCATGAGTCCTTGCTACTGCGGTTGCAGGTACAGTTGAATTTCTTGTTCCTGGACTTTCTACATAGGAATGCCACCTTATAGGGCTTCTCTAGTAATTGGAGTCAGTGTTTAAAACGTGGCACTTAAAAAATGTATCCATTCCAAAAACTTTGCCTCAAATATCCTTTATGCGATATTAGAAAATACAGTCTACACAATCTAGCTGAAAGGGACACCGTTTCCTAAGAGGTGTAGTCCCCCCACACCCCCCAAATGTCTTGATAAAGCTGATGGGGGAGGCAAGACATCAAAAATAAGGCCATTGATCAACAGACTTACTCAGGGGCTGCTTCTGTTTGTGTGACCAGAGTTGCTTCTCCGGGACTTCCGGGGGATGACAGTCCCTGACTCTTCTGCTTATATTTTTTAATTAAATCCATCAGTACAGCCTGGTGCCCAATTTTCTTTACTAGTTGCTGAACCATCCGATCATTTAATGCTAGAAGAGCGGCCCCACTTACTTCTTCTTCTGGGAAAAAGAAGAAAAGTTGTGGTTCTGTATGACTTCCTGGTAAAACATTGTAAAATACAGCACTCCAAGCTTGCAAAGCTATTTCTGGTGTTAAGAGGATCATCTAAACCTGTCCTCTGCAGTTACAAATTAATCTGATTTTTGACAAAGATGGAACCCTCATCGTGCATAATTCCAAGTCAATATCTGCTCCTGTGAAAGTATCAGATCATGAGTCATAATATAAACTACTTCCATGTTAATACCCTTCCCCTTCTGATTCTCTGTAACAGGCATTATTTCTATAAAGGGGTGGCGTGATCTCTGGAAATGATTCTTTATAGTACTCACAGACAATGTACAATGCTTGTAAATTCAACACTGCAAAAAACAACACATGCTGCATTCCTTCAGGTCAAAAGCAGTTTCAAATATATATCTCACACATACCTTCTAACGAACTCAGAAGCTCTAATTTTATTTTAATTATTTTTGAAAAGCAATATTCTCCCATGAATGTGAAGTCAAATGCAAACTGCCACAGTCAGAAAAGAAAGTTGCCTACTGCAGGAACTTCATATCCACATTCACATGCATTAGAAAACAAAAGTAATTTTAAATGACAGAGGACACTCAATAACTCAATTAACATTTTTGGAAAATATAAATAACTCACCTTGAAATCTATGAATCAATTCTCCTAAGTTTTTCTCCACCAACCAACTGCAGACCTGATCAACTGACCAAGTTTCCATTGCTGTCTCCTGCAAATACACCTGTAGAATTAAAGGCCAGGGAAGAATTCTTCAGTTTTCCTTTCTGATGGGTTGTTCTTCTATTACTATGACTTAATTCTCTAATATCAGCTGCCTTCTTTGCAAACCTCTCTTAGACTCTCAATCCTGAGCTTCTTTAAAATTACTGTTTTCTGAATGCACATACAAAAGTTACTAATACAGCAAATATTCTTGTTAAAAATGAGACCACTGTGAACCTGTTTCCTAGTCTCATTTCTCAAATTTCTTCACCTACTCCTACTTTTTTTCCACAGGCATCCCTCAGCTATACCGACTGACAGCCAGAGACATACAATGGTTACCAATCCTGTACCATTAACACCCAGGTTTCTTCACAAAGAGAAGAAAGGTGTGAAATTCACCACTACCAGGCTCATCAGGAAGTGGTTGACATTTACAAAAGGGGTGGGCAGGGGAGGAAGGGAGGAAGGATCAGATAAAAGCTTGACAGAGATACTTAGTAAACCAAGATTGGTTAACCCCTTCTAGTACTGCCCCTCTCCCGCAGTTAGGAGAAAGCTTACAGCTGTTACCAATTGCTTTGGTTTAGCAGAAAGAATGAACAGGAGCCAGGCCTTTCCAGAATAATGTGAATGTTTCTTTCGTCATCACCCAGTGATATTCTTATTATTCAGTTCCAGAAATGTACTGAACACTGTTATGATTGGCAGGCTAATGAAGAGAAAACATGTTGCTTGAAAACTGTTTTTTAATACTTAGATTCAAAATAAGAAAATAACTGAATATGTTAAAAGTGAAAGACGTATATACAGAATGTGAAAGATAGGTTCTGTAACTATTCAGTTATTTTGGCATGTTATTTAGTCTTCTGTAACCACATAAAAATTTAAAACAAAAATATTAATTTTCATAATTCTCCCTATATCCCTTAGACAGTTCATTTATTTTTATAATTCAATGCAAACGACTTAACAGAGTTGAAGAAATTGCAAAGAAAAAACCTGAAACACTTCAGTCTTTTACTATTACTTTCTATTTTATCTTTCTATCTAAATCATAAAGATTTATGGGTACCATAAGATACTGTCTTATAAAGACAGAGGGAAATCTTCTCTTAGAGAAATTAAATGATCTAAGCAAAGATTAAATATTTATTGGATCATGTATTTAAGCTGTATTACTAGAAGTTCTAAAATTAAATCAGTGTAATTTACATTTTTTTGTATTTCAATTCAATTACATTTCCAACATCACAGAATGATAGAGAAAATATTTACCTTTCATACTTGAAAATCTAAAAGATAAGAACCCTCGAAAATCATTTCCTAGAAAACAAGTATACTTCAAAATAAAAAGCTGTATTCCTACAAATATTCACAAATGTCAAGTTTCAGAATTAAAAACAAGGGTTAAATATAGAAGAATATCTTTCTGAATTACAGCAGCAGATTTAATTTGCTACGACAACAGTAGCCACAGAACTCCTCCCCTAGGCTAAGCAGCTACAGCAGGGTGTGAAAAGTCATTATTTGCGAGACTCTGGTGTAAATTAAAAATCACACCTTCCTGTCACACTTCAGGCTTCCTTGTGAAGAGTAGGACTTAGCAAAAAAAGTAGAAAAGAAAGAAAAAGAAAACAATCCTCTGAATTCCAAGATTAAAAGGTATGCAGAGCAGAAGATATGCCATTCAGCCATCAATGGATAAAATGAAATTTGAAAATAAAATGACCACTTGTAGACCTCATATTTTTTAATTCCCAGCTATGTGCCTAATTCTACTCCTGGGCGCTGGGGGAAGCAGTTATCAAATTTTAACCTACTGCAAATGTAATAGCTTAAGAACAGTGCAATCTGAGTTCACGTAATCAGTTAGAAAATAAACTACTATTTATACTACGTTACATCTTTAAGTAGCAAACTTACAACTTCCTCTGATAAATGAAGGATATATTATTTATGATCTTTCACACCAGAAAGGAGACTTAAAATGAGGAAAGCTATACCCAGCAGCTTTATAGCCTATCCAGTGGGTTCAGATACATCTGATAAGGTTTTGAAGTGTGAGGAAAATTACTACCATTAAATTTTTTCGGACATACACACACACAAAAAAAACATGTGTGAATACTATAGTCAAAACAGTATCATTATTTGATTAGATTATCCAATAACTTGAATTTGTATTAAATATTATAGGATCTCAATGTTACTAAAACCAGGAAGTGGTGAGACATTAGCTAAAGCAACTTAAATGTGGGCAAGTTTTATCTAATGGATGTGTTAAAACTCCAAAAGAAGACAATAAGTCAAGCTGTTGTGAAATGGTTTCTGATCTTGAAAAGCAGTGTAGGAGATAGCCACATCAGTAACACATAAGCTGTTTTTAAGAAAACATGAAAACAGTTTGTCATTTTCTTATTTGCATATTTGAGCTTATTTTTTCAGAATCCAAAAGCTGACACATAAAGCAATTTTTGAAAGTTTTGTAGGTGGATGTATGTTTTTCTCTATCTGTGCCTTATCCCACCCTGTGAAAGTGTTAAGGGGAAGGATGTCCTAAAGGAACTCTGCAGTCTTATGGACTCCACCCCCTACTCCAGCTTTCTGGACCCTACACTCTACTCCAGTGATTGGAAACTACAACTCCTACAGCACCAGGGAGAGAATTGCAAGGACCCAAGGGCAGAGCTAGCAGGAATTCTGGGACATTTGGGGGATAAATAGGGCATGATTGCATCTCTCGGGCTCTCGCTCGGGAAGCAGCTCTCCTGACCGCCTGACTCTGTGTGTTCAGTCAGCATAGCCATAAGGTATTCCAGTTAGTTTGTATCCCACTTTCTTTCCCTGGGTTGTTTCCTATTCCTTTCCCTTTTGTAAACAAACCCGTTATTGACCCTTTTGTATGTACCTGCAGTGTAACTGAATTGTGAGCGTGCAGGTGAGGCCCACAGACAGGCGGCCCAGTCCACTCTGGGCTACCCTGTAACAAAAGAACATTTTCTATCAGGGTTGTATGTGAAAGGAGGAGCTATTTAACAAAATTCAGATACCGTTGGGAACTGTGATATAAAAATAAGGATGATACTGTCTCTTAGGACAAAGCCCAGGTAGTTCTGTTGGGCAGCAGCTTTGGCATGAGGTGGTGATATTGCCATCCTCCTGTGGGACATCTCATCTATTTTATGTCAAGCATCACTAGATGAATAGAATGAAACCTGGAATAGTCAACTAAAATACCTCACATACTATAGTCATCAAATTGTTCACTGCCTATGTAGAATTAGTGAACTGAGTGAAAGGCAATACACTAAAGAAGATAGAAGTTTTACCAAGAACATAAGACACATACATCAGCAGATGAAATAATAACCGAAGCACTAAGCGGTGGATTTTCCCAGTCTTTTGGAAATGAATGACTCTTGCTTTGGAATTTAAATGAGAGGTATACTTTAGATATGAAGGAGGCAGAAGAAGTGGGATCCATGCAATAAATGGAAAGTAAAAAACCAAAAACAAACAAGTGATGTTTGGGTCCCTGACAGCAGGGACTCCTGTGGTGTTAAATGCACAGTCTCCTCTTTAGCTGTTGGAATGACAGCAGACAGGGCCTGGGAGGCCAGGGGAGTGCTTGGAACACTGGGTGTGGCATTCCTAGTTTGCTTCAGCTTGGAGAGGTCATTAAACTGATAGTCCTTGCTTTTAGAAAGACATGCAGTAGAGTCAGATGAATGACAAGCAGAGAGCAAATTCTTGCGATAAATTAAATGTGAGAAGGAAGGACTTAAGCTTTTACTAAATATTCCTAGCTGCACTAATTTTCCTTCATTTTAGAAAGGCAGATGTTGGTATTCTCTCAAATTATGGCATATATCATGTCATTTATAAAAATGATTTTAAAAGATCACGTGTAAGTGGCACAAAGATTGTGCAAACATGCACCACAGTTACCGCCGGGTCTCTCGGTTTGGTGGAGTTAATGCATTTTGTCTTCCCTTTTGCTACTATGAAAATGTTTTCACTGAAAGAATTTTGCTGTTATTTCCAGGAAAGTTAGGGTAATAAAGATAAAAGGTAAAGCTTGCTATGTTTCGACCACTGGTGGAGATGTTACAGGGCAGGGGGAGAGGGGCACCCCTGAACCCCCAAATCTGCCTGCTTTAAATAGGTTCTGCCATCTGCTGCATCAAGACAAAATATGTAAGACTTTAATAAAAAGGAACTTTAATACAGTGAATATACAATACAGAAGACAAAGAATATAATTTCTAAATCAAACATCTGAAGTTACCCATCCCCTCGTGGGCAAGAGTCCACCCAAAGGGATTGGCCCAAAACAAGGCCTGAAAGCTGCCACAAGACTGAAGCACCTTCTGGCCTGGACCCATACAAAAGGGTCAGAAATAGCCAGGCAAGCCTGGGAGAGAAAGAGCAAAATAAAAATTAATATAAACACTGCCATAGTCACCTCCCTACAGGTCTCTCACCCACATCTGCCTTAACCAGTCCAGGGTCAGGAAACAAGCACGGTTTCTTCATCACATGCTCGCTGCTCCATGTGGCTTCCTCAGGTCTCCTTCTGGCTCTCTATGCTGCTTCCTTCTTCTTCCCAGAGTCCTTCGCTTTCTCTCCTTTTCTCTGCTCAGCTCCACACTCCTTCTGGGTAGGACAGAGAACCTGGAACTTCCCTTTTTCCTAGGGATCATCCTGTTACAGAGAGGCCTCACTGCATTTGCTTTTGAGCAGAAGATTAAAGACAGAGCACTCAACCAGACTCAACTAGGTAGAGTGATTTAGATCACTGTATTTCATTTCACAAATGGAAGATTTTGCTTACAAATTTGCAATGGTGGTTTCTCTTGAACTAAGAGAAACATGGTTTGGGCCCTCCCTGATGGCTCAAGTGGTTAAAGTGCAGCGCTATGAAGCTATCTGCAGCTACTGCAACAGTGAGCTTGATCACCAGCCAGGGAGCTGACTCACATGGTGCAGCAGACC